TGACTCAGGTCCTCACCGGACACGGTGTGTTCGGGAGGTTCCTGCACCGAATCGGGCGGGAGGAAACGCCCGGGTGCTCCCACTGCGAGGATGGACCGGAGGACACGGTGGAACACACCGTGGAGGTGTGCCCTGCTTGGGCGGAGCACCACCGTGTCCTCGTAGCGGCGATAGGCGGCGGCGATCTCTCGCGTCCGGCCCTGGTCGAAGCCATGGTCCGGAGCGAGACGGAATGGGATGCCGTCACCACCTTCTGCGAAGCAGTGATGCTAGCGAAGGAGGTGGCGGAGTGGGAGAAGGAAAGAGCAGCAGCTTTCCTCCCCGGCCGCCGCGGGTGTCGGGGGCTACGTCGTGGCCCCCGGCCACCGTAGGCGCGGGCCTGTGGACGGCGAGCAATGGGTAGCTCGTCGTCCGTCCGTCTAACGACGACAGGCCGTGTCGACGGCGCGTTTTGTTCCACGGATGGTTTTTAGTCAGTAAAAGTCTGACACTCCCTTACGCTCCACCCAGAGCGAAAGGGGTCATTAGATGATTTTCCATCCACAAAAAAAAAAAAAAAAAAGGAAGTCTTTACTGACATATTTAAACGCAGATGATACTTTCATCATCCTTGCTGAACATCGGCTTACTCCGAGGAATGCCACAAAACACAGTCCTAAGCTAGCTGCATCTAAGCTGCATCGAAGTTTTGCATGTTTTACTCGTCATTATAGGCACTCGTCGTCATCCACAGATTTAGATATTTTTAATATATTTAGAAAATCTTAATTTTTTTAGAAATTTAAGTTAAGAACAATCACAGAGCCTTTGAACGACTTTAAATATATAACAAGCCTGTATTTATTTACTTGAAACTTATACAGCTAAAATGTTAATTAAAGTATATGCTTAACGCGTATGATTCTCTTTGATTTCCAAGTACAACGAGTCATACAGTGAAAGTCTCTAAATTCAAACAAAGGAGGTTGACTACAAGCAAATAAAAAGCTCTCGTCCTACGATATGACCCATTTTACGCCATAAAATTATTCCCATCTTCCATCTTTCGGTCGTAAAACTCGTTATCACTGTCTAATATTTGGGTTTTTTATTACCACCCGAGTTTCTGTAAATTGGTCACAAGAATGTAGTTTTTTTCATTCATGAATTTAAAGACTTCAAAGAATTCATTTTTTAAAATGGACACGTCACGTAGAAAAAGTAACTGTAAGGTTCTTTAACAAATATTATAGTTTAATAAAAGCCACTTTCTATGAGGGGGTGATGTGAAATTTCCGCAATTTTACATCGTTCTATGTGTTATAAAAGAAAGATGAATCTTCTAATTATGTCATTTGGGTATTTACCATCAAGGGCATCATTACCACTATTACCAATTTTCAAACTCAAATGACAGTCAATTAATTTTGACGATGTAAATATTGCTCAATCCAAAATTTTGCTCCTAAACGGCAAATAGACAAAATCTATTAAATTTACAATACCTAATGTTAAACATTCAAATACCAATGTGTTAAATGGAGAAGAGTTGAGTCTTGTATTAATATTGACGCGAAGTTTCAATGGACCCCCATATATCTATCTAAATTAGCTGGCATACTTAGTTCTGCAGCATATGTTGTAAGGAAGATTAGGAGCCTCACCAACGTTGAGACAGGTAGATTAGTTTATTTTAGTTACTTTTATAGCGTAATGTCATATGGAATCTTACTATGAGGTAATGTGACTGACATTGAAGTTATGCCTATTTGTTTTGCAAAATTGAGCCGTACGAGCGATTTATAATTTAAATTGTAGAGACCCTTAGAGAAAATTTTAAAGAAATAAACATATTAACTTTGGCATCGCAATGTATTTATGAAAATGTAATGTATGTATATAAAAAACTTTCGTAAGAACAAAGATGGTCATATTTTAAACACTAGGAACAAAAATGAGCTTGTAATACCAGTCACTATTATAGACTCTATAGAATTAGTAATTCATTTATGGGGCAATATATACGCTTTTACAACAAAATCCCAGAAAATGTACAAAAGTAGTCATTACATAAGTTTAAATGTTTTATGAAAGAAAATGTTTACAAAAAGGGTTATTATAATATCAAAGACTAACTACCTAAAAATAGTCGATCAGGCCCTGTAAAGAGTTTTGTTGTTTGTTACCTTTGTATATTAATGTTTCATATTCGTGAGTAAATCAATTCAATTTCCGGTTGAAGAATCATCAGTGAAATTGTTAATTGTAATTTAATTGGTGATTTACCACAAACAAGGCAGAGAAGTAAGCCGTGATAATTCAGTAGAGCAATACGTGAGCAGTCCGGGATTCCCACCCGCACCAATGAAATTGTTTTTTTTAGGTGTTGCAAATTGCAATTTTAAGTGTTGATTTACCACGTGTTAGGCAGTGAAGGAAAACTCGTTGAGGAAACCTGCATTTCTGAGAAAAAAATATTTTGAAGGCATTTGAATGTTCGCCAACACGCATTCGGGCAGCGCGGCGGACACTTCGTAGCACTAAGCCTCTTAGAAATGAGGGGAGGCCTGTGCCCAGCAGTGGGATGTATAACGGCTGTAATTTTTAACTAAAGAGAACAGAGGCAGAGAACGAAAATCACTGAGTGCTTTATATACACCTAATAAAAATATCATAAGTAATTCGCATGTGTGGGAAGCAAAATCCAAAATATCAGAACATAAATTTTCATACGTGGTAGAGCCACGCTGCAGCTATATTATCGTTGTAAAATGAATAGGTCGGCTCGACCGGGGAAGGGCCACGGTATCACAGAATACCAGCGTAAAATAGCAGCTTAATAATACCGTGTTTCGTATGGTGAGTGTGAAATCCGGAGACCTTTTTTACTGGAAACGAGATATTCCATCTTAGTCCCTAGGAGTGACAACGCATTTGCATTTTGATTCTTAATCGAGGATAAGTGTAGATGTCTATGGGCCACATCATCCAGTTACCATCAGGTGAACTGTGTGCTCGTTTGTCACCCGTATTCAATATAAAAAAATGATAGCAGATAATATGTGGCTGTGCCGGAAAGCGAAGTATTTCAAATATTTATAAAGAGAATTTTCATTATTGTAAATAACAATAATGAAAATTCTGGTAATATTCAGAAAGTCAATATATGGTTATTAAATATCACCATTGTTGTTAGAAAGATTTATCTACGACACTGTTTGTTGGTACACTGCTGATCTAATTTTTTTCAATCTATGGCAAACTCTAATTATACGTGGTAGAGCCATGCTGCAGTTAAATATATTAGTAGTATAGTTGTGGTAGGAATCGGTCGGCTCGACCGGGGAGGGAGCACGCTCTCACACAATACCAGCGTAAAATAGAAATGTCCTCCAGACCGAATTTCGGTCACGACCTGGCCATCGGCGCAGGACAGGATTATAGTGCCCAAGTGTATGCGCAAGCACAGGTGCACTCTCATAATCCGATGAGACACGACCGGAGAGAGATCAGGCGCAGGACCAACGGCTTTACTTGCTTTCCGAGGCACGGGGATGAGACACCGCCAACTTTCGGACTTCGGGCAGCTACTGAGAATTTCTTGACAGAAAAACTCAATAATTGAATTTTGGGCCCGACCCGGGATTCGAACCCAGGACCTCATGATTAGCAGTCGCACTACTACAACGATCAACGAGGTAGTCAAAAGTAAAAAATAGTATATAGTAAAATTGTATATAGTATAGTCAAAAGTAAAGTAGTAGCATAATGCTGTTGTGCTTCGTATGGTGAGTGTAGAGAACCGGAGACCCTTATTATTGGAAATGAGGCATTATATCTTAATCGTCACGGTTGACAACGCCAAACGCACACACACTTATATAAATTTCTTTGATCGCATCGATAAGTACTTACGTCTGTAACAAAATCATTCAGATGCGATTAATTTATCTCCACTTGTTTGAGAACATACAAATGATAGCGTAATACGTCTCACGTTAGGAATTATTAACTGCCAGAGCCACGCTGCAACTATGCTAGCTTGGCTATACATAGCCGCAGCACGAATGGGTCGACTGGACCGAGGTAGTACCTCGTTCTCAAACATAGCGTGAAACAGTAGAATATTGCTACTTTGTATCTTATGATGAGTGCAGAGAACTGGAGACCCTTTTTCCTCAGTCGTGAAAACTAATCTGGTAATTCTATTCTTAATCTGTAACTTAGTTGCATTAGAAATATCAGATCAGAAGGAATTTTTTTGTGTCATAGCACTTTATTGTGTTGAGTTTGTGATGGACCGCTAAAAATTTTAAGATTTCTGCAAAATATATCGAATAGCAAAATTAAAATTGTTTTGCTGTTTGTGCAATTTCACGAAACAGATTATTTAATTTTATTATGTCCACTGTTTTGTTCTATTTACTTTACACATTTTATATACATATATATTATTTTAGGTGCCAACTATTTTATATAAATCACATGGGTTGACCGATAGAGAGTTCCAACTGACATTAAGTCCGACCTTTATTACCATAAAGTAAGGTGTATGCTTTAAGGAATTTCATAATAATTCCGAAGGAAAATCGTGTTCCTCGTATTTTTCACTAAAGCGTACAACATAGATTTATTACAACAATCATACATTTTTAGATAATAAATTGTCATATTTAATTCAATAATAAATGAATGATTTGGGTGAATCAAAGAAATAAAAATATTAATTTATGCAAAAATTATCACAATGGCTTTATTAAAGTATATAAATAGGTATACTTGTGACTCATATGGACATATATTTACAAATTATATACAAATTCACATATTCTACAGCAGTCTTATAGAATGTATGTACAACAATATTATGAAACACATGCCGTTTGAAATGGCTAGAAAATACAAAAATAGATGACAATCTTAGTTATTTGGTAAGCGCATAATGCAATTATAATTTACACAAGAAGCATTGACTAAAAAATTGTTCATAAAATGAAACTAGTTTGAAAAGCTTTTGAAGACTAGACTAAATAAGCATGACCTGCGTGTTGTCCATTAATAATAGGAAGTGGAGGTTGCCAATTTCTAAAGTCTCGTCTTCGGTTAGGATTATTGCCTCCTAGCTCAAGTGAAGAATAGTCGGAGTCAATTGATGAATAGATATGATCTGATGGGGGTCTACCTTGGTGGCCATAAGTTGATGGTGTTTGTTGTAAGCGTCCTTCTACAAATTCGGGTGCAGAATTCACACCGTTAACTTGATCGTACGATTTATCTGAGAAAGAAAAAGATCTCATCGTTCCATTTTGTATACCACTTCTCATAGTGTAGGAATTTAAATTATTTTTGTAGCTAGTTGACTTAGTTTTTTTTTTCTTGTTTGGCAATGCAAAGCGAAGGGTGGGCCAAAATTTATTTTGATCTAGTCTTATCCTTGACCCTGTTTTTAAATATGGTCTTAAATCCGGGTCACAAACAGCATCAGGCAGGACTGAAGTGTCTTCTATTATCACAAGAGAATATATTCTTGGTTTCAATATGTCATGTAGAGTTTGCCGAAATTCAAAACGAGACCATTCCGTCTCCAAAAAATTTCTTGTTAAAACAAGTAATATGCGCTTTGATGCTTCAGCAGCTTCTGGCAATGGTAACGTGTGTTGTATGTAAGTTGCTCCATGTCGTGGTATATCTCTATAATGCAAGCATAAATGATATGATGGCTCCCCATTTTCTAGCTCCGCAGCCAACGTTTGTATAACAAAGTCATCATCTTTGGGACTATAGCATACGTAAGCATCGTATAATTTGTCATTATCGTCGTACGCTGTAGGAGGCAATAATCTTATTCCACAGGTAGTGTAAAACCATATGCGAATTGAGTCCCTGAACAAAAACATTGTTAATATTATTAGCATAATCAGCATGATCCCAGTTAATGTAGTTACCATCATTGGCATATAATTAGAAACTAACATTTTATCAATAACTGAATCTCCAGCGTAATAATCGCTGCAAATTGTACCATTAATGCTCAATTCTCTTTTATGCGGAGACCCGTTGTTTGAATTCAAACACCATAAATCTCCTATATCCTTAATTTTAGGAACATTTTCGGATAAGAATGCGGTAAACTTTTGTAAATACCTACATTTACATGACCACATATTGTTCCCTAATACAATTGAATGTAAATTGGGATTAATTAAACTCCAAACCGAGAAATCTATTAATCTGTTTCCATCTAGCCTCAAAATGTTTAAGGATCGCAATGTAACGAAGGTTGTATTTTCTATATAATTTATGGCATTATATTGTAAGTATAATTCCTTGAGTTGCGATAAATTTTTAAACTCATTTCCCTTTAAATATTTTAGTTTATTATTTCCGAGATGTAATATAACGAGCGAGGATAAACCGGCAAACGTTTTATTATGTAAGTTCTCAATGTTACTAGAATTAACGTAAAGCGATCTCATATTTTTTCTCCCAATGAATGCATAATTCTGCAATTCTTTAAAGTCATTTCCATCTAAGTAGACTTCGGTTGCATCCATTGGAATTTTTTCAGGTATTTCATTTGCCAGCTTTTTCGAACAGTCAACTACATTAGTATGCCACGTTGGGTCATGGTAACAAGAACAATTATACGGACAAGTCATTTGACAATCACAGGCGACATAATCACAACAATGACATAATGTGAAGCAATGGGTCTCATATGTACATAAAAAGTCGGTTGACTTTAAATTACTGAGGGGTATATGGGTAACTCCTCTAGTATGAGTCATTTTACATAAAACATTTTCAAGATCCATTATCCTAGGATGTTGTCTCATTGCAGTCATGTTATTTATCATAGGTAACCATTCCATCGAACAGTCACAATCAAAAGGATTTCCTCCGATGTAAAACTCTGGTAGAGACTTATTTAATGGGACAGGAAATAATCTAAGGCTGTTGATATCTAAATGAGATATCTCATTTGCGTAAATGTCAACCCTTGTGAGATTAACTTTCTCCTTAAAAGTGTTTAATTGAATTCTGTTTATGTGATTATTATTTATGAACAGTAATTCAACGCTATTTGGGATTGCTAATGGAGATATTTCTACAATGCGATTATGACTCACATCTAATGTCTTAATCCTAATTTCATTTTGGAGCTTATAGTAATTAGCTAAATGTTCTATAAAATTACCGTGTACGTCTAGCCATTTCAAGTTAGCAGGAAAAAATGCATAATCAAACCAAATTAAATGGTTTTCTGACAAATTAAGCCAAAGCAAGCTCATCAATGCTGAAAACACACCGTTTATATCCGATATAAAGTTGCCATCTAATCTTATTGCCTCTAATTGTTTATTACGTTCAAATGTTCCTCTTTCAACTGATTGAATTTTATTTTTAGCTAAATTTAGAACCTGTAAACTGGGCAGGTCCCAAAACATACCTACGCTTAAATTTCCTATTTGATTGTCAATTAACCTTAACCCTGTTAATTGATCCAAATTTTTAAAAGATCCATTTTTAATTTCTGTTATTAAATTTTCCCCAATATCAAGTGTTTTCAGCAATGATAACTCCCAAATAGAAGATGGGACTTTTGTAAGTTGATTTGAACTTAAATCTAACTCTTTTAAATCAGAACAGTTTTTAAATGCTTTTGGGTGAATATTTATTAGAAGATTATTATTTAAATTTAATTTACTTAAAACAAACAATCCATTAAAAAGGAACTCGTCTATAGTGTGTAAGCGGTTTTCCGCTAAATTTAAAGTATGCAAATTATACAAAGGCAAAAAAGTATTCTCTTCAATATATCCTATAGAATTGTTCCTTAAATCTAAAATTTGTAAAAAGAATAAATCTTTAAACGTTTTACCATCAATCCTCGTCAAGGCGTTATTGGATAAATTCAAGATGACTAAGCGTATAAGACCAATAAATGTTCCACCATCAATATGAGCACTCGAAAGCAGATTATTCGATAAATCTAAGACAAGCAGCTGGTCTAATCGGTGAAAAACGCCTCTAGCTAGTTCATATAGTAAATTATTATTCAAGTAGACTTCTCGCAACTCTTTTGTGTTAGTGAACGTTCCCTCGGGTATAGAGTGGAGATAGTTATTTGAGATATTTAATATTCTTAATGCAGTAAATCCATTTAATATTTCCCCTGATATATCTGTTATATTATTATGTTGAAGTCGCAACTCCTGAAGTCTTCTGAGTCCTGAAATTTCACTTTCATCGCTCAAGGATTTAAGTTCATTGTAGCTTAAATCTAAACTTGTTAACCCCGAACCGCAATTTTTTCCAAAACCAATCCGATCGATGCTTTTTAATTTATTAAACGTTACATTTAACACTTGCAAGTTGTCAAGAGGACAAAACACTTCCGGTGGTATAGCTTTTAAATTATTTGTACCTAGATCTAGTACTTGGAGTTCTTTCAACCCGTTGAAAGTTCCAAGAGAAAGTTCTAAGTTTTTATTCGGGCTCCAGTCGTAGTTTTTAGTTCGAATCGACAACTTTTTCAAATCACGTAATCCTTCAAACGCGTTGCCTGGTATTTTGAGCAGTTTACAATTCTGAAGAGCCAGTTCTCCAAGTGTTGCAAATCTTTGAAAATAGTTAGCTTCAAGGAAGCTTTCAAAAAATAGCAGCTGGTTGCATACTATTGAAAGCTGCTTTGTGTTATCTGTAGCCGAATCTAAGCTAGATCCGCCGGTATCAAGTGTTCGCACATGACAAACTGTTGCACCTATTTCACTATCCGAAAGAAGGCAGTAGTCCACTCCTTTTGAAGTAAAAGTCCCTTTGACACTTAATATCATAAATAAAAGAGTTACCAAATGATACATTTTCTAAACACATTTGTCTATATACGAATGCACAAATTTACAGTCACTTTTCAGAATCTTAATACTATTGAGACACACAAGTTCGTTATTCACTTAGCCGGTCAATGTTTACATCGCGTTGAACGTACGAGTACCTTCGGTATTAGAGACGACACGATAACGTGCCTTCCTCATCATGGATAGTGCGCGACTGTGGAAGCAGTTCGGCTGTTTATAGAGAGTGGTGCGCTTCTAGCCGCCCCACTTGGATATACGCCCCCCGCACCCAATCACCCCACATAGTTACATGTTCCTTCGCATGGCGCCACTTGCGCACTTGGCCGCTCTCGCACAATTATGTAATGTTTTCTTAATCGAGTCATCCCGCGACGGCTTAAAAAATTAAACGCGTTCTTCAACTATGATTGCATTCGTCAGCCGTCTTTGTGCTTTTGTGAATGGATAACGAACGGTTGATTAATTAACTGAAATCGCAAGTCTTCGTTGAAATTGGCTGCCGTGACCGAAATTCGGTCTGAAGGACGTTATTATTATACTTTCGTAAAAATATTGTCATAGGATATTGGTGTAGAGCGTGTAGAGCAAGGGCTTCAAAAAGCGATTGTAAACTTATTCGTGAAGCTTGGTGATCATTGTGAATTAATCCACCTTGCTAAGGAGATTAAATATTTATGTGCAGTTAAAGAAATAAGAGGTATGAAATAAAAGGATTACCGTTTGGATTATATATAATAGAAGCAATAATTATTTTTATGCAGGCCGATTTGAAAAGAGACACTTATCGCATTCATTATGCGAGCTAAATACATTTCATATAACAATCATAATAAATCTCTGTAAGAGATTTCTCTTCGTATGAAGCATCCCCTCAACATGGAACTTGATATATTTTACGATTAACATAATAATTTTATAGGCAAGCGTTTCGGGATGTGCCTTGTATGATAAACGTCTCTTAAACCACTATCTATCTCTAAGTCTTTGTAAACTCTGAACATATTAATTTATTTCTCAAAGTATATTTTATAAGAACTACAACATCATCATAATTACAGCCTTTCACAAGTCCACTGCTGAACATAGGCCTCCCTCAAGTAATGCCACAAAGCACGGTGCATCCATCGACTTCCTGCATGTCTTACCAGGTCGTCACTCCATCTAGTGGGGGGTCGCCCTACACTACGCCTACCGGTACGAGGCTGCCACTCGAGAACCTTTCTTCCCCATCGGTTATCGGTTCTTCGAGCTATATGGCCGGCACATTGTCACTTCAGCTTACTAATCAGTTGGGCTATGTCGGTCACTCTGGTTTTACTGCGGATATCCTCATTTCTGAGTCTATCACGCAGAGAAACTCCGAGCATAGCCCTCTCCATAGCTCGCTGAGCGACCTTGAGCGTCCTCATACGGCCAGCAGTGAAGGACCACGTCTCAGATCCGTAAGTCATCACTGACAACACGCACTGGTTGTACAATCTAGTTTTTAGAGATTGAGGTATACCTGACGAGAAGATATGTCGTAATTTCCCGAACGCTGCCCAGCCGAGTTGAATCCGTCGATTGACCTCTCGGTCGAAGTTGAACTTACCTAGTCGGACTATTTGTCCCAGGTAAACGTACTCGTCAACAACTACGACCATAGTGCTCCCAACAACTACCGGCATAAGTGTGACATGAACATTAAGTATAATCTATGTTTTGTCCATGTTCGTCTTAAGACCTATCCGTTATGAGTCACTATTGAGGTCATTGAGCATAGTGCTTAAGTCCTCTAGCGATTCTCCCATAAGGACTATATCGTCGGCAAATCGAAGGTTCACTCACCTTCCTTGTACTCGCCATTGATGTTGATACCGTATCCTTTCCAGTCCAGTAGCTTGAAAACGTCTTCCAATGCAGCGGTGATTGTACTATTCAGTCTTCTGTACAATCTGCCGCAGGGTATGTATGTGGTCTATGGTACTGAAGCCTTTTCGGAAACCGGCTTGTTCGGGAGGCTGGAAGTCGTCGAGTTTGCGTGCGAGAAGATTTGTAATGACTTTCGAAAACAGCACGTAGACGCAGCTCAGAAGGGAAATCGGTCTGTAGTTCTTCAAAGAGAGTGTTGTCGCCTTTCTTAAAGAACAAGACCACTGCACTTCTGCTCCACGCCTCTGGAGTAGTGCCACCATGGAGGACGGAATTGAAGAGCTTCTGAAGGACTTCAAGTACCGGTGTTCCACCCGCTTTCAGAAGCTCCGCTGTAATTGCATCCTCGCCTGGGGCCCTGCCGTTTTTAAGGTGCTGGAGAGCCATTCTAATCTCGCTTAGACTGACGTCCGGGATATCATCGGAATAGTGTTACTCACACTTGCGTGTGGCTCCAACGATGATGTGTGCAGCTGCCCGTAGAACCTATCAATCTCACTCAAAATCTCAGGTGTCCCGGAAAGGATGCTGCCACACTCAGTCTTCAGCTTTGACAGTTGGCTCTTACTGGCAGACAGATCTCTGGCAAAGACTTTGGAGCCCTGGTTCCGCTCGATCGCTTCTTTAATACGAGCAGTATTAAAGTTGCGTAAGTCTCGCCGCATGCATTTGGAGTTCTGTCTGTTCAGTTGCCTGTATGCTGTCAAATCTGTTGACGATTGCAGCCTAATCTCCCGTCTAACAGCCATGAGATTAAGAGTGTGATCGGAGAGTTTTTGTGTTCTTCTGCGGCGGGTTTTGCAGAACTTAGCTCCGACCTCATGGACAGTTTCCATGAGCTTGTCATTCATATCGTCCACTGCATTGCAATCTTCTAGGCACTAAAAGCGGTTAAGTAACTCGAGCTAAAAGGTCTCGGGATTCTGGATTAGAGCACGTGGGGGACGGAGCGTTGACTTCATTAGACGAGACCTCTCCAACTTAACGTTTAGGATCAGTGTACCTCTAACCATTCGGTGATCGCTGCCAGTTTTAACCCTTGCGATCACTGAGACATCACTGAACAGTTGGCGTCTGGTCGTCATAATGAAGTCAATCTCATTTTTGTCGAACCGTCGGGGCTCGACCAGGTTCACTTCCTGTGGGCCGCTTCTGGAAGAAAGAGTTCATCATAAAGAGTCCCTTTTTCTCCATAAAGTCGGCCAGCTGCTGGCCCCTTCGGTTCCGTTGCCTACTCCAAATTTCCCTACCTTCAGCTCACCGCTTTCTCTTGTGCCTAGTTTTGCTTTGAAGTCTCCCATCAACACCGTGTAGTGGGTTTTGGAGAAATGCATGGCTCTGGAAATATCCTCATACATTTCCTCCACGTCCTCATCGGGATGTGCCGAGGTTGGTGCGTAAACCTGTATGACCTTCAGCGAATACCGTTTGGTGATTCTGAGTATCAGGTACGCGACCCTCGTCGACACACTCCCAATCTATACAACGTTGTTGACGAGAGACTTGTGGACGATAAATCCGACACCTCCTTGGGACAGATGGTCGCCCTCCCGGTGATAGAACAAGTTGCCGGATTCGAGAATCACCGTGTCGGTCGACATCGGATAATCCTATAATATTCCAGCGCAACTTGTCTATCTCTTCTTCCAGCTCCAGGATCTTCTCGTCAGTCCTCAGGGTGCGTGCGTTAAATGTTGCCAGGTCGAGTCGTCGTAGGTGGCAACTGAACCTCCACCGGAGATTCTTAGCACCCCCTGCCCCGCCGTTACCATGGTCACCACCGTAGCCAGGAATAGCGGGGCCGCCGGGGACTGGGGGCCGTCTATTTGTGTTTTTTCATGGGGGGGTATATTGCCATAGTTGCCACGCTTAGCAAGCGGGTTGGCAACCGCAGTTTTTTTTTGTCGTAGAGTTGCTGTTATTAGGAAGATTCTGCTGCCCATCTCCTGCCTGTTTCCCTCTGTCGCCTTTTATGACACCCACGGAAAGATATGGGGTAGTATTCTTAACCGCCACTACACGGCTAAGAACTTCGTTATATAATATTTGAAATGTAAAGTACCTATATAGTCTCCTGATTCCAAATTAGAAGATCTAAATAAGTTAATTTAAAGGCTATATTGTACAAAGCCAAAATTAAAAAAAAATCCACACTGATAAATTTTACAAAATGTTTTACGGCAACCAAAAATCTAATTAAAAACAGACTTTCGCTAATTTCTTATTAAAGCTAGTGCTCCATGCCAGTGAAGACATATGCATCGGAGAATATATATCTGGGGTTATATCACTCATAGAACTGTGCTTAGAATTCCTCTGCGTGATAGACTTCGGAAGATATCCTAACTAGCCGAGTAACCGACGTAGCCCATCGGATTAATTAGCCGAAGTAGCAATACTGAATGAATAGCCCGATGAAACAACAAGAGATACTCGAGTAGCAACCTCGTACCGGTCTGCGAAGTGTTATACAACCACTTGATGAAGTGACGACCTGGTAGAACATAAGAAATCGATGGAGCAGATGGCTCAGGAGCGTGGTACTAGGTGTTCCTTCGGAGAGCCTTACGTTTAGCTGTCGATTTGTAAAGCACATTAATGATGAAGATGATTAATACATAATACATATTAATGTAATGGTTTAATATTTATTTTATGCTTCTGAGCTTCAGATAACTTCGATTACTATCTTGTGTAGTAGTGATTTTTAGCGACTGAGAAACTAGACTTCTCTATGACTTATTTAGTTTTTGAGAAAAGTAAAAATGCCATAAATTTATAATTATTTAAAATTTATGATCTCTTCCTTCACAGGGTGTAACAGTTCACTGTTTAATATAGACATCTTCCCTTGTCTTGCCTCATACGAGAGATATTGTTTATTACCCATAGCTGGCATGCATAACAGGCACGTTGATAATAGCAGGATTTTAATTTTTAAGCTGTTATCAGTTATACGAGTACGACGATAATTATGAGTAGGTAGAGATGATCTTATGCCGCCATTGGCATATTTTTAATTGGCATCAATACACTTACATAGTATATATTTAGAATTAAATAAAAATATACAAGATACAAGAAGGGAGACA